CTAGGTCAGCACTGTCCTCACCTAGAGAGGTGAGGAGCAGGGCTGGCCAGGGACCAGTGAGGGACATTTGGGATAGACTGGACTGTAATTGTGGCGAGGGACTAAGCTGTGGTGCCAGAACCCCTGATGGGCTATAGCCAGGAACATGGGTCAGCAGTGGGCAGGCCCTGGAGAGGGGCTGAGGATAGCACTGGCTAAGGGCCCTGCTGACCTAACCCTGAGAACATCTGTCTATCTGATCTTTATAGCGAGGGTCCTCTCTTGTTCTGGTTGGAGTTTGGTGGCCAACTCTTAGCTGCATCCTAAGCCCAGGCCCTCCAGTCTCCCTGTAGGGGTCTGGGCCAGAGTGCAAGGAGGGTCTGATGGTAGTGAAGGACCTGCCTGGAGGGTGCAGTAGTGTTGGCAGGGGAACAGCACATGTAGAAGCAAGCATGGAACAGGGGCCAAGGGGCAAGTGGTTTGCTGTGGAAGTGCAGATTCCAGACGGACAGCAGGAGGTAGGTCTGGAAAAAGAAGCAGGCACAGGATCAAGTCACCAGGGCCTTGAATGCCAGGCCAGGAGTTTTAACTTTATTCTGTGTGCAGGGCCAGCCAATAAAGGTTTCCAACAGATCAGAGCATCATCTGAAAGCCCCTCTGGCTGCAATGTGGAGGACAGATTAGAGGGGATAAGACCAGAGGTAGGAAGACTCAACTTCTTTCATCCTCAGGTTTGCCTGAGGAGTTAGGAAGGCATCAGCCTTCTTATTTGTAAGATGAGGAAACTGAGGGCCCAGAGAAGTAGGGTGGGTTGCCTGAAGCCACTTGCTAGATACTGGCAGCACTGGGGATCACACCTGGCTCAGACTGTTTGCAAAGCAAGTGTTCTTATCCACCCCGCTAGTAGGGAAGCAGGCCAGCCAGTCAGGAGAGAGGGAGAGAGAGAGTGCTCCTATACTCCCACCCGCCCAGCTGGCCTGTTGCCTGGATCCCTGCCCTGACACAGGGTGAGGGGTGCGGCTGTCCCCCCAGCCTCACCCACACCCTCGCTGGGCCTGACTGGTTCTACCTGGAGTCACTGGCGAGGGCTGCTTGAGCACCAGCTTGTAAACATTGATCCAATGCTGCAGGCACCATGCCAGGACTGCCCGCCCAGCAGGCAATGTCCCAGCCCAGTGGCCACAGATAGGAGATTAGGCGGACCCTCAGCCACCTACCTGGTGGGAACTGTAGGCAGCTGGCACAACAGCCATGAGCTGGCAGACTCCTCCAGGGCACAGGGTGGGGGTGGGGATGTGACCTTGGTTCCTGGGCCTTTGGGGTCTTGCCAGTTTCTTCAGCTGCCATAGCCTCCAGAAGAGAGTCTGGGTCTTTCCCAACAGCCTCCCTCACCCTGGGGTCAGCCTCTGCAAAAGCTGGTGGCTTCCCCCACGGATAGGAACTATAGACCCCACTGGATGGAGCAGGCCTGGGGATTTGGGCACAGCCAGCTTGGCTGGCCACAGGGAAGGAAGTAGGTGGGGACAGTACTAGAAGGACTGAACAGTACCCCCCAGCCACGGTAGGGTTGACAACTGTTCCTGCCACTCTCTGATTCGTGGGGATCAGCTGTGTGCTATGGCCCTCTCCCCTTCCAGCTTCTTACTCCCTGACCTGTCCTAGACTTTGGTTTTCTTTGACCCAAGTGGTCACCTCAGGCCTTTCTCTGAGCCCAGCTTGCCCAGTGCTGCTGGCCAGGATGGGCCTGGGCTTATTGATTCCTGGGTCTCATCTTACCTCCTCTATTGGGACAGCAGAGCTGGTAGCCCAAGTCAGCTGGTGGTGGGTACAAAGGTCTCTGCACCTTGGAGGGCAGACCTCAGCTTGGAAAGCTTTCCATGCCTCCCAGCCCTCATCTCCAAGAATAGTCTCTAGCCTGTGAAGCCAGAGTCCCTGTGACCATGTCACCAGATTGGACACAGGGCGATCTGAGTGAAGGGAGCTCTCCAGGGAGGCTGCAAAACCATCCCCCTTCCTTGACATAGAGAAGTGTGGGGAAGGAAGCCTGTGCCTGGCTGCTTTTAAGAGCGTGCTGAGAGGGACCTGGGGCCTGGGGTGACCTGTCTTCTCCTCATGCCCAGCAGATCCAGTTTGCCTGGGCAGGAAGCGTATGGCTGGCCATTGTTCTGCAGGGCTGATGTGCATGGAGGCAATAATCACCTCTCAGCAGGAACTGGGCTGACAGTTTGGTTCCTACCGTGTGATGCCTGGGGGGTGGGAGGAGAAAGTGTTCTATAAGGTGCGGGGCCAAGGGGGCCAGGGCACCCAGTCCAGGCCATCTCCAGGAATTCGGGAGTGACCTTCCCTCCCTAGCCCATTGACGTGGTTTTCTGAGGAGAGAAGATCTAGGGGAAAGGCAGGCAGAATAGTGGGGAAAGACAGAGTCTCCCTCTGAGCTTGGCTTTCTGTGGGATGAGGGTGTGGGGGGCACTGCACCATGAAGCAGATAGTTGGCCAGAAACTGCTGTCACTCCTGGATTGGGGGACAAAGCAGCAGGTTATCATTGCTTGGCTGGTTAACGGTTGGAGTTTGTGGCTCTTGCAGGGGCTCTGTTGTGGGGGCTGCCATGCCAACCCATGGGTGTGATGTTTGGATTCACCATGAAAGGGACTGGGGAGGGAAGGGGGGCACTATGAGTAGGAGGCCTGGCAAGCCTCCCAGTCTCCCTGCTTGGGCTGAGCAAACCCCATGCTCTGCACAGGCCTACCTGGAGTCCTTCTACAAGTTCTGCACCCTACTGGGCGGGACCACAGCCGATGCCATGTGCCCCATCCTGGAGGTGAGTGCCTGCCTCTTCTCCTGCCTGCTGGTCCCCTGGGAAAGACCAGTCTAGGGGAAGCCCTGCCAGCTGACTGGCTACTGCCTTCCTCCTCTCCCTCCCTGCCTGTGCTCTTGCCCCACAGTTTGAAGCAGACCGCCGCGCCTTTATTATCACCATCAATTCCTTCGGCACAGAGCTGTCCAAGGAGGATCGTGCCAAGCTCTTTCCGCACTGTGGGCGGCTCTACCCAGAGGGCCTGGCTCAGCTAGCCCGGGCTGATGACTACGAGCAGGTTAAGAACGTGGCCGACTACTACCCGGTGAGTGCCCTGGCTGCAGGACCAAGGGGTGGGCTTATTGCCACTTGTATCCCCACCCCACACCCAACAGTGCCCTCATGCTCGTGCTTCCCACCACTCCCCTGGGCCAGGAGTACAAGCTGCTTTTTGAGGGTGCAGGCAGCAACCCTGGAGACAAGACCCTGGAGGACAGATTCTTTGAACATGAGGTGGGTGCTGGGCCTGCCTGTCAGGGAGGGGTCGGTGGCTCAGGCCTGACCCTGTGGTCATGGCCACCTGCACACCATGCCTGCTTCTGTCCATAGGTGAAACTGAACAAGTTGGCCTTCCTGAACCAGTTCCACTTTGGTGTCTTCTATGCCTATGTGAAGCTCAAGGAACAGGAGTGTCGCAACATTGTATGGATTGCTGAGTGCATTGCCCAGCGCCACCGCGCCAAGATTGACAACTACATCCCCATCTTCTAGCGCTCTGGCCCAAGGCTCCCCACAAGTGTGTGTGTCTGTGTGCTGTGACCAAGGCCACAGCTCACCTGCCTGCCCTGGGGGTAGCACATTGTCCTAGAGGCTGCCTAGCTTCTCTGATCTTCTGAGACTGCTCTTTGGCCTGAAAAGGGGCTGGGTACCTGCTCCCCCACCAAGGATAGACCAAGTCCCCCTCCAGATCAAGGAGACCCCCTCAGCCCTGTTTACAGCCACCAACGTGTCTAAGAAGCATGTGGTCACTTTTGTGCCCCTCCCTAACCTGAGAACCCCTGGGGGCAGCGTGAGCCTCCTCTCCCTTCTGTGGGTCACCCCCAGAGCCATGGCCTAGGGGAAACAGTGTGTGTGTGTCCTTGGGGCATGGGGGAAGCAGCTGTGCATCCCTCTCCCTCAGCTCTGCCCCTTTGAACAATAAACTGCCCTCTCTAAACCCTGCTGTCTGCTCTCTCCTTTGGTCCCTAGTTCCTTTCCCAGACCCCCAGCTTCCCTTGGGTGCACCCTTACTGAGCCCACCCCTGCCTTCCTAAGCCTTCTATCTCCCTCAGTCAGTCTTAGTCAGCAGTCCCAGGCTGGCCCTCTCCTGAGCAGCCAGATTCCTCAGGGCAGGGAAGTCACTGGAGGATAGCTCTTTCCTCTGTTGGAGGCTTGGGTCCTGGCCCTGGAGAGCCTCCAGGCCTCCCTATTTGCTTCATTGAGCTTCACCATTCCCCAGGCCCAGGTTATCACCCCCATTTCACTATGAGGAAATCCAAACTTACCGATAAATGACCTGCCCAAGGTCAATGAAGAGGGTAGGTGTGAACCAGTCTATACCCAGAGCCTCGCCCCCCATGCTGAGCCTCAGAGGTTCCCCAGGCAGTTCCCAGTATGTCACACAGCCACAGCCTATCACCCCCTGCAAACACAGTGTTTGCCCCATTCTAGGAGAAATAAAAATTTATCTTTATTTAAAAAATGGCAATCAGGCAAGTAGGGTGTGCAGCCTCTCTGTGGCTTGGGGGCTTGGGGTGGGTGGTCAGGGTCCTAATTCTTGAGCCAGTCAAGAACAGTTGGGATTTACCCTTTGAATCGCAGCACTGAGGCACTAGTGCTTAGAAATAACCTGAGGAGGTCCCCAACTTACCCTGTCACTTCTTAGTTTGCAGAGGCACTGACTGTGGGAACCTGCTACGCCTTGCACTGAATTCCCCATCCAGCTGGGTTCTCTAAGCTGCAGGGCGGAGCCTTGTGCCCTGGAGGGTCTGTTCAAAGGTCTGAAGCAGTAGAGAGGCCCAGAGGTTCACTGGGAAGCCTTAACCTCATTAGGCCTGACCTGGGGCATCCGCAGTGGGTGGGGCTGGGGTCCTTTAGGCCAGATGCTGGGGTCACAATGCCCAGGGGAGGGCCAAGAGCTCATGGGATCTTCTCTGATGGGACAGCTAGGCCATATATGCACACTGCTCATTGGGCCACTGTGGGGGAAGGACCTGGGTTTGGGTGTGGGTCTTGGGCTGCATCCTCAGTGGGGGTAGGGCCAGGCTTGCCAGGCCTCAGTGCTCTGGGCAGACAGGGGCTGATGAAGAAGGTTTGCAGGAAGCGGCGCCGCAGGCCCTCGGGCAGGTAGTAGTGGATGAAGTACATGAGTCCCATGCCACGGCCGGGGTAATAGCGGCGTTGCGGCTGAGCTGCCAGCAGTGCATCGATGATGGCATCTACAACCGGGCTGAGGTCTGGCAGAGCCAGGCTCAGCGAATGCAGGAACTGCCCGTGCATGTGCTCGATGTAGTCCTCCCCGTAGGCCTGCATCAGCTCTTGGGGCAGGCTGGTCAGCAGCAGCTGTTTGCGCTGCTCCCAGTTGCCTACATTTTTCACTGACTCTGGGGAGAAAAGTGGTAAGATCAGCGTGGAGTCAGCTAGCAAAGCCAACTCACCAGTGACCCGCCTCCTGCCAAAGCCACACCCATTCTTCAGGCCTGTCCCCGCCCCCAGATAAGACCATGCCCAAACCTTTTCCAGCCCCAGGCATTAACCTATCCCCCAACCCTGACCTTTACCTGTCTTGAAGCAGCCAGGCTGAATGACGCTGACCTTGACCCCCCAAGGCAGAAGTTCACAGCTGAAGGTGTCCATGAGCAGCATCACAGCTGCTTTGGAAGTCCCATAGGCCCCCAAGCATGGATATGGCATGTCTCCTAGGGATGGATTGAGGGTAGGACAGCTCAGCCTGGGCCAGGGGCTCCAGCATCCCTCCCCACCAAGGGGCTCCCTTTCTGCTGCGGCGTGGGAATGCACTCACCTGCTGGGCTGCCAAGGGTCACAATGCGGCCCCTGGAACGGCGCAAAAGTGGCAAGAGTCCCTTGGTCAGCTGCAGTGTGCCAAAGAAATTCACCTCCATGCAGCTGCGGAACGTGGCTACTGGAGACAGCTCCGCATCCGCCACTACATCATTGAAGCCTGCATTGTTGACCAGGCCCCATAAACCTGAGGGCATGGAGCAGGGAGGGAAGCTGTGGGTCAGCCCAGCAGCAAACCTACATCCCTGCCCCTTCACACCCACCCAGCCACATCTCTCCTGGAGGAGCTGTGCCCACTGACCTGTGCTGGTGGTATGGGCCTTGGTGAACTCCAGAGCACGGCTAATGTCAGCTGGCTTGGTCAGGTCCATCTGCAGCAGCCTTAGGTGAGGGGAACAGCAGGCACGCAGCTCTAGGGCGCCGGGGCTATCCAAGTCCAACACAGTGGCCAGCACCATGAAGCCCATGGCATCTAGTTTCTTGGCCGCCTCCTTGCCAAAACCAGAGTCACAGCCTGGCCAAGGCAAGGCAGCCAGTGAACTCTCACTGTGTCCTAATCCAGCTTGAGACAGCCCCAGGATCACTGGGGTCCAGATGGGATCTAGGTCCCTGGACACCCAACCTACCAGCACTCAGCAGCCCTCCCTCCTTTCCTAGGCCCATCTTTAGCAGGCTGTGCCCCCTGGCTGAGCATCTGAGCATCAACTCTTTCACAGCTGTTATCTCCCTGACTCCCCATAGGAACCCCATCAAACATGGCTTATGAGCCCCACTTTACAGATGAGGAAACTGAGACCTAGTAATGCTAAGTTGCTTCCCAAAGTCACTTGGCCAGCAAGGAGTAAGGTCGGAACACTATCCCAGGTCAGCCTGAGACCTAGTCCCAGTCTTCATGTCCTTCTGCTTGCTTGATATTGAGCTTCCGCTCAAATGCTCGGTATTACTGCACAGCCTCCCCTCCTTGCTGCCCTTGCCCAGGCTTCTTCCTCCTACCTGGACACTGAAGCAGCCCCCTCTTTAGTCCTGTCCCATCTTAATCCCTTATATCTATTCTCTACCTAAGCAGCAAGAGGGATCTTTCCAAAAACGACAATATAACTGCTGTGAAAACTTTCCCAAGTCTCCCACAGTGTGTGGGATGAAGCCCAAGCCCTCTGCCCCCTTCCTCCAGTCCCTGCCCAACCTGAACTGACCTGCCTTCCCAACCTCAACACCCCCTACCGTTGTTCCAGGCTCTAGGCAAGCCAGAGGCCCATCCCCAACTCACCCCTGACCCCCACCCTTGGAATTTTAATCAGTGGCAACAGCGGGGCATTCTCTGAGATCCAGACCACTTGCCCCCAGGACAGGGACAATGATGGATGGAGAAGAGAACAGACCTGCATTTTAATCCCCACACCCACCAAGTGTGACCTGAGGTCAGTTACCACTCTTGAAGGCTTAACTTCCTGTCCTTGGTATGTAGAGAGGAACTACCAGGCAGAGCCAGAGCGGGGGTCCAATAAGCCCCTGCCTCCTTAATTGTTCCCATTCCCATCCTGGTTCTGTGGCAGAACCTCCTCCCTCACTGGCCTTCCTTCTGAGCAGAAGCTGCAAAGCTGCTCTGCTTTCCCACTCCTGGACGGCTCTGTACCCGCTCCCTGCAGTGAGGCAGACAACACAGCTGGGCAGGGGGCTTTGAACTGGGCTTTGTGTGGCTGGGGGCCTGCCAGCCAGCCCAGGCTGGGGGGTCCTTCCTGGGCAAGTCTAGCTGGGGCAGGGGAATGAGCACATGTGTGTGTCTACTTGCCTAAGCGCCTCCCACCCCCACCCCAGAGCAGACAGCCTTTCACAAGGAAACTGGGCCTCCCAGAACCTTACCTCTGCTGTCCCAGCACAGTTAACAACACCTTGCACCCCCTCTTACCCACCTGCACACACATACCTGTACATACCTCCAACCTATGTGCAGTGAGCTGTGAACAACACACTGGCTAACTCCCATGAGACCCCTGCCACCCATCAGTGCACAGATAGGCACATAAGGCACCCATCCACACAGCCCAAACCCTGCCCCGAGGGCTAAGCTTCTCAAGTAGCCTTGGCCTGTGGTTCTCAGGGGCATTCTCAGGGAGGGGTAGGTGGCAGCTCTGGCAGGTGGGGCAGTGCCTGGTCACCTACTTGTCTCAGTCAGGTGGAGGGACCTCCAGAGTTTTTGGCCATTGGGAAATGGAGGCTTATATCTAATGCTTAGATGGGGTGGGTTGGGAAGCCCTCCTCCCCTCCCCCATCATGGGGCTTTGCCACCAGAGATGAGGAGCCCAAGTCACAGAAGGCATCCCTCCTCACACATCCCTCTCGGGCTCAAGGGTGGAAGTAAACAGCACCAAAGCCTGAGGTGACATCTCAGGAAAGACACTTGTGGATGGCCTGGCTCCTGTTGAGGCAGCTCAAAAATTAGAAGGCAGGAGAGGAGCTGCCCCATCTCTGGGGGCAGATCACAGTCTAGTCCCTACTTCATACCAGGAGGGTCTGTCATCTTCCTCAACCCCCCAAAACTGGAGTCCCCTGAGGCTTCACACTGCACCCAGAACTCAGGTCTCTCTCATCCAGCTTGAGTCCTGCTCTATCTCCACTCTCTTTGCTTGAAGCCCAAAGTCCTCACGCCACCCTTACCTCGCCAGTTTGGCTTCTTGCTTGGCATTCAAGGCCCCGCCTGAGGAAACAACCCATCTCACATCCCACCACTCCCCAGCAGCTAGACTAATTAGTGATTGTCCCCTATTCAGACCAAGCTCATTCCTGCCTCAAGCCTTTGTTCCACACCCTCTGTCTCAACAAAACACCTTCCATTCTCCACCTATCTCCACCCACCCTCTGAGGCCCTGCTCAAGGATGGCCTCCTCTGAGAAGTTCTCCAAGCTCCGTCTGATCATGCAGGGCCCCCTACTGGACTGAGAGATCTGAGAAGACAGTCTGGTCGCTACCCCCAGCTCAAGTCCAATGTGAAGGCAGAGCCCTGAGCACCTGTCCAAATCCAAGGGAGTTGGGGGAGAGACTAGGCTGCCCTCCCCCAATATAATGGAGCCAGTGCCCCCTGGCCTTTCTCCCCCTCCCCACTTCCGGCTGGGCCTCAGCCCCCCTTTCCCTTCCCTCGATCTGGTGACAGATTTATTCCCTGCTCCAGACAAAGGGAGCTCAGCCAGGCGGCCAGAGGCACCTGAGCCCCACTCTCTAAGGCCTCTTTTCTGGGCACAAAGGGCCAGGAGGAATGGGGGTTGAGGTGCAGACTCTGGACTCTCCCTCAGCAGTTTGAGGTGGTCAGCTGAATACCCAGTTGCTTCCATTGGTGACCTCAAACTTTTCTGGAATCCAAGGACCCCAGCCAATTGGGTGGTACGGGTCCCAACTGCCGGCCTAAGCGCCTTTCTCTGGCCCCAGGGAAAAGATGGGGCATCCCATGTGGGGATGTCAGGCAGAGTTCAAGGGGTGACCATCCTATTAAATTCCTCAGAGATTGCTCTCCTGGGGAGGGGCACAGCATAAACCTCAAACTCCAGGAGACTCTATCTCAGCCACCAGTTTCCCCTGTGCACCTGTCCACTCCCTGCCTCATTTTCCCTCCAACACTCCCGGTAGCGGCAGGTAGTTAACCCAGACTTGGGGAGGTGCTTTGCTTCCTACTTGGTTTGCTCCCTGCACTCAAGGGAAGGGGACTCTCCTACTCCAGCGCTCGGGGGCCCTCCTTGCCTTGGCGTGCCCACGGGAGCCCTCTGGGTGTCCAGTCCCGCCCTAGAGCCTGGGATCCCCGCGCTCCGCGCCCCGCGCACTCACCGGTGATGAGCACCGCGCGAGTGGCCACCGGCAGGCGTGG